CTGGATCACCCTGAGAAGAATGGGAATTCTGCAACACGTCATTGTGCTCACTTGGATCTTGTACACGGATCAGGAGGCAGTTGTGAGAAAAGACCAAGGGAATACGCATGGTTTAAATGACATGAAAGGAAAGGTGTACATCTGGGTTGTATACTCTACCATGTTTGTTCAATCTGTATGTGGGGCATCAGAGAAGTTGGATTATGTGAAGAAGAGTACAGCATCAGGATTGGAGAAAGGTCTATTTACACCCTGCAATATACAGATGACACAACCTTGCTTGCAGCAAGTGAGGAGGAATTGAAACACTTGCTGATCAAGATCAAGGATTGTAGCCTTCAGTAGGGATTACAACTCAATGTAAGGAAGGCCCGAGTACTCACAACTGTACCTATAGGTAACATTATGATCAGTAGAGAAAAAGTTGAAGTTGTCCAGGGTTTTGTCTTACTTGGATCCACAATTAATACTCATGGAACCAGCAGTCAAGAGATCAAAAGATGTATTGCATTAGGTAAATCTGCGGCAGAAGACTTCTTTAGAGTACTGAAGAGTGAGAATGTTACTCTAGGAATAAGGTGCACCTGACTCAAGCCATGGTATGCTCCACTACTTCATATGCATATGCAAGTTGGACACTGAGTAGGGAAGACGGCAGCAGAATGGAACATTTCATCTGTGGTGCTGGAGAAGAATACTGAAAGCACCATGGACTGCTCAAAGGACAAGCTGATCTGTATTGGAAGAAACACCTCAGCGTCACTGCCATGGAGTTGATTCTGACGCACAGCAACCCTGTAGGACAGGCTGTAACTGTGGGTTTCCAAGATTGACTCTGTAAGGGAGTAGAAAGCCTTATCTTTCTCTCCCTCTCTCCTTCTGTGGTAGTTATATACTGTAATTTGTTGTCAATTTGAGAGGATTAGGAATGGAGTGAAGGGGTGGAGTCTAGCCTGTCAATCATTGAATAGCCAATGGGGCTTCTGTGTGGGAATGGCCTTCCCCTGAGGTTCTGGGAATTCCTGTAGTTCCTCCTTGGAGGTGGGAGACATTCTCTCTTGGTTCACTCCCTTGGAGACTCTCTACTGACAAGGCTGACTCCCTAAAAGACATCCTTGAGCTGGAGAAGCCACGTGCACCTACCCTAATGTAGCCCTGGATGCTGGAGAAGCCATGAGGAGACCCCCGGCAGCACTGAGATGCTTACAACGCCACTGGATCCACAAGACTTCCCACCCACCGGCCTGTGATTTTCCTGCATTCAGTGTCATTGCATGTATTTCGTGAGTCAGAAGAGGACTGTATAGATTGATATCAGACATCTGAGCTAATATTGGACTTATGGACTTGCTCTGGACTAGGCTGGGATGTTTTCTCAATATTCATTTGCCCTTGTATATAAACCTATTTTTTATCCTCATATGAGTATCCATGAATTTGTTTCTCTAGTCTACCCAGACTAACACACCTTCCTAGGATATTATATTTGTTCGCATGTCTTTTGCATTTTCTATCACTTTCTAAAATGTAACCAGTCATAGCACCAAATGACTGTCACATTAGGAGTAGATTCCCAGACCCGGCGACTGTCTTCACTCTCCCTGAGATCACTGAGGTTTGAAGTTCATGGAAAGGCATCATTTTGGGGTCTAATGTAAGTCTCTTCTTTTCCACTTCATTTAAAAAGGTCAAGTGTGAAATGGTGTGAGAAA